CTGGCAAATTTTAGACTAAATGTTGAGTGACACCACTATACTACGTTCAGTTTCCTGTGGGGTATTCTTGTAACAGGGATACCATATTAACCGTGCTCTTTTTATTTTCAAGTATTTCGTGTCAGTGCGCGGGCTGATGTCACTCGGATGAGTAGGATAAGGCGAAACTGATCTGCGCCCGGGCGATGTCCACATGACACCTTCCCTTTCATGTTGAGCAAACAACCCCCGGGCAGGCCGTTCGTTTTCCTTCCCTGTTCACTTCTTCCCTGGCGGCGGGCACGGCGGGGGCGGGATGGGGGCTTTTACAGAGCCCCAGGCAGCGGCGCCAATCAGGAGCTCCCGGGGTTTATTCCCGGGGCGGGGGGCACTCCCACGGGCAGCCACCCAGAGGGAAGCCCGAACGGCGCTGCCGGGGCAGGAGGCCTGCGCGCCCGCCTCCCGCCCCGCGCTCTGGGGCGCGCTCCGCGGCGCTGTGCTCGGCTCGCCCGCGGGGCCGGGCTGCGTCCGGCGGCCGCCGCCTCGCGGGACCCAGGCAGCTCCGCCGCGCTCGCTGCCCGCGAAGAGGTGGGCGGCGACCAGGCCCATTAGGGCTCGGCCAGTCCGCGCGCGCGCCGGGACTTCCGGGGGACGGGAGCCCCCAGGGGGCGCGGATTGCAGCCGGGCGGAGCGCTCCCGACGTCTCAGTTGCCACAGAGAAGCCGCGGAGCACCGGTCCGCCCGCCGCCGGGAGAGCGCGCGCCCTGCTGCCGCTGGGAAGCCCGCGGAGGCCCGGGAGCGCGGCGGGAAGGAGCGGCCGGAGCAACAGGTGCCAGTCGGAGCCCGAGCGAGCGAGCCGGCCGGCAGGGGCCGGGCCCGCAGCCGCACGCGGGCGCCCCCGCCTGCACGGCGCACGGGCGGGCTGTCTCTCCTCCCGGCTCGGGGGCTGCGCAGCGGGACCCCGCGCTCTCGGGGCCGCCGCCTCGCCCGGGAAGGTCCACCTCGGGGCGAGCCCGCGCAGGTCGGTGCCAGGGGGCGCGGCCCCCCGCCCGCGCGCCTATCCCGGACGCCCAGGCTTTCAGCCCGCGCTCTGGCTGCTCGCTCTGGGGACCCCCGGCGACCCCGCAGCCTCCTTCCCCGCAGGTCCCCTTCCCAGCGCGACCCGGGCTCCCCCGCGGGCCATGGAGCCGGCGGCCGGGAACCTCAGCGAGGGGAACGCGAGCGGGCCCGAGCCCCCCGCCCCGGAGCCCCGGCCGCCCCTCGGCATCGGCGTCGAGAACTTGGTCACGCTGGTGGTGTTCGGCCTCATCTTCGCGCTCGGCGTGCTGGGCAACAGCCTGGTGATCACCGTGCTGGCGCGCAGCAAGCCGGGCAAGACGCGCAGCACCACCAACCTGTTCATCCTGAACCTGAGCGTCGCCGACCTGGCCTACCTGCTCTTCTGCATCCCCTTCCAGGCCACGGTGTACGCGCTGCCCACCTGGGTGCTGGGCGCCTTCATCTGCAAGTTCATCCACTACTTCTTCACGGTCTCCATGCTGGTCAGCATCTTCACTCTGGCCGCGATGTCGGTGGACCGCTACGTGGCCATCGTGCACTCCCGGCGCTCCTCGCTGCGGGTGTCCCGCAACGCGCTGCTGGGCATGGGCTTCATCTGGGCGCTGTCCATCGCCATGGCCTCGCCCGTGGCCTACCACCAGCGCCTCGTCCACCGGGGGGTTGGCAACGAGACCTTCTGCTGGGAGGAGTGGTCCAACGAGCGCCACAAGAAGGCCTACGTCGTGTGCACCTTCGTCTTCGGCTACCTGCTGCCGCTCCTGCTCATCTGCTTCTGCTACGCCAAGGTGGGCGCGGGCGCGGGCGGCGGGGCCCGGTGGCGTCCGTCTCCCGGGTCCCCGCAGCAGCCCGGCCCCGCGCCCGCGCCCGGCGGCGTCCTGGGCGGGTCGTGTTGCGGTTCGTCTCCACCGCTTGGGCCTGCGCGTGTGAGGCTCCGCGAGGAAGTTGCTGGGGGTCGGGGAGATGCCCGGCGAGTCCGCCGCGTCCCCTTCTGGCCACCGCAGCCCTTGCGCCCACGGCCCCGAGTGCGGCTCACGCCGGTCCTCCGCGCCAAGCGCTCTGCCCTGCGCGTCCCCAGGGCCTCAGGGTAGCTCGGCCCCTCCCAGCGCTCGGCCGGCATGGAGGGGGCCGTGCGCGGCCAGCCTTTCCGCTCTGCGGGGACCTGGCTCTTACCAGAAGTTTAGCTTTATAGTAGAGCAGTATTTCTTCACAGTCCCTTCCGGAGTCTGCAGAGAGTTTAGGATGAATGGGTTTCAGTCCTTCTCAGGAAGGCTGTGTAAATAGTATGAAAGGATTCCGGGTCACGTCTAAGCCCCCAGCTCTGCAGACACCCCTGCCGGCGGCGCCCTGCGCCTCCACCTTCTTCCCCTGCAGAGCCCGACAGAGCGCAGCCATCTCACGTTCTCTTTACTAGCAACACGTGGGCTTGAAGATTCTACACTGGTCAAAAAGTCCTAAACCTTTTAACACAACTGATTTATGTTTAAAAGTATATGCTTAATAATCATGGGATGGTGACTCGTGGGGGAAAGTCCATTGTCATGACATGCTTTATCCAGGTTCCGTCATGTTAGAAAAACATGTTTGTAACCAAATTCTGAAATTTTCACCATTTATTCTTCATCTCTCT